ATTGCTGTAGTTTATTCGGTGTCTGGTTTTTAATTGCGCACCTTGCATTACGAATTCTTCAGGCAACTCCAAGATTGAGTGAAGATAAAGTGAAGCAGTGTGTGGATCCCAAGCTAAATGAGGACTATCCACTTAAGGCTATTGCAAAGGTCTGTAGAAAGTTGCTAATTGTCACAAAATTTTCTTGATTTTGTTCTACATGCCAAGCGATTTTACGGTCATAATGGATGATTTTGAAATGAATTTTTACACGTCAGCTTGTGTTTCGTAATGGCTTCTGGTTTTCTTTTTCTTGCCTTCCCATAACAGTGTGGTGACTTTTTGCATAATCAACAACCAAAGGAAAAAAACAATGATTTTCAGCTTCGAACCCGGAGAAAAATACTCGTTTTTTACAGCTAGAAATTAACAATCACTTTTTTCTTTTCTCAAATTTGCAATAAACGTACTTAAATTTCTGATTATTTTGTTTTTATTTCTTTGTCAATTTTTGGTGTTTGTGTTTGTCAGATGGCAGCTGTTGCTGCACTTTGTGTGCAATATGAAGCAGATTTCAGGCCAAATATGACCATTGTGGTGAAGGCTTTGCAGCCACTTCTAAACTCCAAACCAGCTGGCCCTGATTCACATGCATAAAAACCCCAAAATGAAAAAAAAAAAAAAAAGAAAGAAAAAGAACAGGAAAACGAGTAGCAAACCCAGTAACAATCGGCTCGAAGCTTGAACTGTAACTAATGTGCTGTTCTTGAAAGAAGTCCATGCATAACAGAAGCCATGCTTAGCTGTGGTATAATATAATACATGCTTAGCTATGGTGTAATATGATAGCTGTGATATGTTTCTGTATCATTATTTTTCTTTTTTTCCCCATTTTTCCTCACTCATTGCTAGCAATCTATATTTTTGTATGTAGTGGGAACATAAAAAGGCGCTGACTTTTTTACCTTTCTCAATTGTGACTTGCATTAAGACTCTACTTCTATAATATTATTTATTTATAGCTTTTGCTTTGAATCAATCAATGAAGCATAGATATACAGCAACAGTTTTGGTCTTTCCTTACCTTCTTACTACACTACAGTTACCAGAACCCAATTATTGTTCGACCTCACAAGTAACTGCAAGAAAAATTGAAGTAGAAATCCGTACTTATGAAATTTTGAAATATCGCAAGAGGTTATTTTGTGATTACGGTTAACTTCAAGGACCATTTTTTGTCATTATATTCTCGCATTTTCGACATTGCTGCCAGATTATCAGTAACAAACAGCAGAATGTAACCCGAAACCAAGATTCATTCTCCACTTGGTGCCTACAACTCGTTGTAGCAAGTTCAGTAACCATTGGCAACAGAACGCATATTTGGAAAAAAAATAAATAACTTGAGTCACTTGAAAAGAATCTAATCAACTCCTGGGAAAAAAACAAAAGACATGCAAAACTCAATGAGACATGCAAAATTCAGGTAAAATTACTCTGGAAAAAGGAAAGTGCCAAAAAGCCTCACTGGCTGCCATTAAAATTGGATATAACACTTCCCAGTAGCTATTTCTCTCAACCTACTTCCAACAATTACAAGGGGAAGAGAAGACTAAGAGATTACAATCCGCATCGCATAATGCATTGGATATGCTGTCCTATCTATATATTTCTATATTCCAGCTGTTACGAGAAAGGTGGAGAATAAAACGAAGGTATTTTCACGATTTTTCCTTTTCTATGACACAAAGATTGCACTGTACAAAGGAACCCCAGCTGTGGGGGTTGAACAGTATGGCAAAAAAAATGAACAGGTAGAACTATCTATCATTACATTTACTTTTCTGTCCTCCTACGTTGTGTCCGGTTAGTATTTTTCCCAAAAACTCTTCTTGGGACAGGCCTGCACGAATAAGTAAATCAATAAATAAATGAACAAATATCATAGAAAATAGATAAAGAAAAAATCAAAGAGAATCAAATATCACACACTTCTATAAAAACAGGATTTTGAAAAATCAATATCTAGGTTCAATCATATAATTCCCAAATAAAACTGTACATAATATAGAAGCCTACCAACTCTTTCGTTT